GGTGCAAGCAGGGGCCACCTGGATGCCTGGGTGCCCTTGGGGTCCATGGGGGTCTGAGGGTCCGGGCAGGGGCCACCTGGATGCCAGGACCCCCTAATGGACATTGAGGGTCTGAGGGTCCAAGAAGGGGCCACCAAGATGCCAGGATCCCCTTGGGGACCATGGGGGTCTGAGGGTCCAAGTAGGGGCCACCTGGATGCCAGGACCCCTTTAGGGACCTTGGGGGTCTGAAGGTCCAAGAAGGGGCCACCTGGATGCCAGGACCCCCTTGGGGTCCATGGTGGGTCTGAGGGTCCAAGAAGGGGTCACCCAGATGCCAGGACCCCTTGGGGACCTTGGGGGTCTGAAGGTCCAAGTAGGGGCCACCAAGATGCCGGGACCTCCTTGGGGTCCATGGTGGGTCTGAGGGTCCAAGCCGAAGCCACCCGAACACCGGGGCCCATAGCTCAGACCGGGCGGAGCGGGAAGCTCTCCCGAGGCTCTGGAGCAGGCCTGGGGGGTGACCGGAGATGGGGGGACACCCCCCGTCGCGTTGTCCCCGCAGTGCGACCCGGGCCAGGCCACCAAGTACCTCTACGAGCTGCTCTACAACGACCCCATCAAGATCATCCTCATGCCGGGCTGCAGCAGCGTCTCCACGCTCGTGGCCGAGGCCGCCCGCATGTGGAACCTCATCGTGGTGAGGGCGCAACACCCCGCCGGGCGGGTGACAACAGGCGGCGGGGGGCGGCGAGGCCGGGACACCCCCCGTTTCGCTGGGATTTGCCCCAAAAGCGCCGCGGACGGAGAGCGCAGGAGGGGAGAAGCTGGTACAGGCGGTTTCGGCCGCCTGTTGCCTGTCCGGGTGTACCTTGCTGGGCCCGGGAGTGGTTGCAGGCGCGGGGTGTTGGTCTAGGGGGTGTCTGGAGGGTACCCCGTGACAGCAGGGTGTTGCCGCGGGCTGGTAGGAGCTCGTCAGGTTGCGCTGCGGTTGTTGGTGGGGCTGTTGCTGCCGCTGCTGCCGTGCTACAGGCGCACACAAACGCTATTGCTGTGCGTGTACAAACGTTGTTGCTTTGCGGTTGTTGGTGCCTGGCTGGCCGTCGCCACGTGAGCGACTGTCGGCGTTGCGCGCCTGTTGCACGTGCGCGGTTGTCGCCACACATCCGCTCGCGGCCGTCTCCCGCGCGGGCCTGTTGCCGGCCTCCTTGCGGCGGTGCGCGCACACCCCCGTGCCGTTGTTGTGCCGGGCTGTTGCTGTCACCCGCTCGCCAGCGCCCACACAGCCGCCAGCAGGGTGCGTTGCGCTGCTGACGGCTGCCACGCGTCCGACTGTTGATGCGCTCGGCGGTAGGCAGGACCGCCCCGTGTCCGACTGTTGGCGCGCTCAACGGTAGGCAGGACCGCCCCGTGTCTGACTGTTGGCGTGCTCGGCGGTAGGCAGGACCGCCCCGCGTCCGACTGTTGGCGCGCTCAGTGGTAGGCAGGACCGCCCCGCGTCTGACTGTTGGCGCGCTCGGCGGTAGGCAGGACCGCCCCGCATCCGACTGTTGGTGCGCTCGGCGGTAGGCAGGACCATCCCGCGTCCGACTGTTGGCGCGCTCAACGGTAGGCAGGACCATCCCGCGTCCGACTGTTGGCGCACTTGGTGGTAGGCAGGACCGCCCCGCGTCCGACTGTTGATGCGCTCAGTGGTAGGCAGGACCGCCCCGCGTCCGACTGTTGATGCGCTCAGCGGTAGGCAGGACCGCCCCGCGTCCGACTGTCGGCGCGCTCGGCGGTAGGCAGGACCGCCCCGCATCCGACTGTTGGTGCGCTCGGCGGTAGGCAGGACCATCCCGCGTCCGACTGTTGGCGCGCTCGGCGGTAGGCAGGACCATCCCGCGTCCGACTGTTGGCGCGCTCGACGGTAGGCAGGACTGTTCCGTGTCCGACTGTTGGCGGGCTCGGCGGTAGGCAGGACCGCCCCGCGTCCGACTGTTGGCGGGCTCGGCGGTAGGCAGGACCATCCCGCGTCCGACTGTTGGTGCGCTCGGCGGTAGGCACGACCGCCCCCCCGGAACAACGTTTTCCGCCCCGGTGTCGCCCTGGGGGCGGCTGTCGCCGCCGCGGGGCGGTGCGCGCGGCTGTAGCGGGCACAGCCGGCGGCGCTCACCGGCGCCCGTCACCCCGCAGCTCTCCTACGGCTCCAGCTCGCCGGCGCTCTCCAACCGGCAGCGCTTCCCCACCTTCTTCCGCACGCACCCCTCGGCCACCCTGCACAACCCGACGCGCGTCCAGCTCTTCAAGAAGTGGGGCTGGACCAAGATCGCCACCATCCAGCAGACCACCGAGGTCTTCACCTCGGTACGGCGCCCGCCGGCCGCTCCGCCTGTTCCTACAGCCACCCCCTGCTCCGTCACCCCCGTTCCCGGAGTCCTGCCCGCTGCACCGCCAGCCAACCTACAGCTGCCTCCAGCTACACCCAACCACCCAACCTACAGCCAACCTCCAGCTACACCCAACCACCCAACCTACAGCCAACCTCCAGCTACACCCAACCACCCAACCTACAGCCACCCCCAGCTACACCCAACCACCCAACCTCCAGCTACACCCAACCACCCAACCTACACCCAACCTCCAGCTACACCCAGCAACCCAACCTACAGCCAACCTCCAGCTACACCCAACCACCCAACCTACAGCCACCTCCAGCTACACCCAACCACCCAACCTACACCCAACCTCCAGCTACACCCAGCAACCCAACCTACAGCCACCCCCAACTACACCCAACCACCCAGCCTACACCCAACCTCCAGCTCCGTCACCCCCGTTCCTGGAGTCCTTGCTACACAACCACCCAACCTACAGCCACCCCTAGCTACACCCAATCTCCCAACCTACAGCCAACCCCAGTTCCATCACACCCGTTCCCCAAGTCCTGCTCGCTACACAACCACCTAACCTACACCCAACCCCCAGCTACACCCAACCACCCAACCTACAGCCACCCCCAGCTCCGTCACCCCCGTTCCCGGCGTCCTGCCCGCTACCCCCGGCCCCTGTGTCCTCCCCGCACTCACTCTGCACTCTCTTTCCCTCCCGCGTCCGCCTGTTCCCCCGGCCCGCGCCTGTTGCCGCTCCGCACACCCCGCCCCAGACCCTCGACGACCTGGACCAGCGGGTGAAGGAAGCCGGGCTGGAGATCACCTTCCGCCAGAGCTTCTTCTCCGACCCCGCCGCGCCCGTCCGCAACCTCAAGGTGAGTCCGACTGTAGGCGGGAACAACCGGCGGGATCCCGTGTCCCAACGGGATCGGGAGAGGAGCCATCGCGGGGTGATGTCCAGGTCCTGTTGGGATCCGGGCAGGTGTCTCCTCCACCCATGGAGCACGAGGAACAGGGTCCAGGTTCCTCTGTGTTTCATGTGGCATGCAAATTGTATGCAAATCGGGGGCTAAGGGCCCGGGGGTGACCGCTGTCCCCGCAGCGCCAGGACGCCCGTATCATCGTGGGCCTGTTCTACGAGACGGAGGCGCGGAAGGTCTTCTGCGAGGTGAGACGGGCGGGTGACGAGAGGGACGGGTGGGTCCGTGGGTGGGTGGATGATGGATGGATGGATGGTTGGATGGATGATAGTTGCATGGATGGTTGGATGATGGATGGATGGATGGATGGATGGATGGATGATGGTTGGATGGATGGTTGGATGGATGAATAGATGATGGATGGATGGATGGCCGGATGGTTGGATGGATGGATGGTTGAACGGATGGATAGATGGATGGATGATGAATGGATGGATGGATGATGGTTGGATGGATGGATGATGGATGGTTGGATGGATGGATGGATGGATGGATGGATGGATGGATGGATGGATGGAGGATGGATGGATGGATGGATGGATGGTGGGTGGATGGTTGGATGGATGGATGGATGGATGGATGGA